TCATCATGAGTGCATTTTCCCAGCTGTGTGTTCATCCCTCGTCCTGTGTCGTCAGGTTATGATATGCTACGCCATGTATTCCCAGTTTAGTTAAACTCTCCTAGTTTGAGTTTTGTTTTTGCTCAGTACTCATGTGTTGTGTTGCCAAGTTTGTTTTGCCAGCAAATAAAGCTGCTGCCTTTAAGTTAAAAATTCCATCTCTGAGTCCTGCGCTTGGGCCCAACCACTGCCAGCCACACAGCTCACTGTGACAACACTTTGCTTTGATCGTTTCTGTTGTGTCTGTCAAAGGACTGCAGCTCCCACAGACGTCTGCTCTGAACCTGAAATGAACAAATTCTGGCCTCAACCTTGCGACTTTAAATTAAATTTACATCGTATTCTCATGTGTCAGGAGTGTCGACAGCTCGTTACTGAGCAGAAATCACCGTTGTAGTGGGAAGTGATTGTCTCCCCGTCCCCAGCAGCAACCAAGGAGAAAGATGAATCCATTTATCGTAAAATTGTGATTTCTTTTGTTTTCCTACAGAGGAGAATTGGTTTTCACAGCGGTGGTGAGCAAAACGATTGTTAAAATATCTTTCTATACTTTAAACCCTGCTCCTCATCTCCACTGTGCTACCTTTTGCATGACAGTTCCTGAGTGCCCTGTGGGGAGGTCTCCCATTTATTCCAAAGGTTTGTTTCACTGCCTCCACAGTTAGCTTCAGCGAGCTTTGTGAAGCAGCACAAGAAGCAGCTGTCCACCCGCTGGCAAAAAAGTTGTCCCCAACATGTGCAGTGTTTTCCTTGCCAATTTTCTACTGTGTATTTGTGGCGTTTATTTATGATCAGATAAAGCGATTTCCTTTGGGAGCCACACCTGCTTTGCTCTTGGTTCCCCCCTGCACCCCACAAACATCCCGGAAAAAATGCTGTGTGAAAGCGTATTTGCTGATCCATAGTTCAGTTTCGTGTGGCCCACCTCCTCCCACACACACACTAATCTAAGACACAAAAAGCAAGTTGCAGTCACAAATCTCCTTGGCTGCCACTGACACTGCCTCATCCATCCAGAAGCAGAATACTGTGGTGTCAGCGTGATCCGTGTGGGAGTACCAACAGTTCACAACCCGACCAACTTCCGCAGCACTGCAGCGTAACGGCATAAGGAGAAGGCACACAAGTTCAGCAGTCATCTCCCCTTCCTTTTGCTGTGTTTTCTGACCAGCTCTGCTGAATCTTCACTTATCTGTATTTTAACACAAAGAGGCGGTTTGAAGAATCATCATTAATGATTCCCTTCGGCTTTAGGATGGATTTTAGCATCTTGAAGTCCAATGCTTCAGCCTTGTTGCTGTTTAGTTACATTGGTTCTTAAACTGTGGGGCGGTGGTGAGGTGAATTGTGGGTGAACAGGAGAGAAATATAAAGTGGAACTACGTAGAGTGAATTTAATTTTTTAAGGGGAGATGATTAAAACAGAGGTTGATGATGCTGTGGTGCTGATTTCACTACTGTTCATCTTAGATCACAGGGTGGTGAAGTGGGGCATGCCAGCAAAGGTTTGAACCACTGCATTAGATCATTGCTATTATCACTGTGGGTTTAATAGCAACTCCAAATCAGCACTGAATACTCACATTCCTGTGCTTAACTGTGGACTTCAGTCCTATTAATGCACTGTCCCAGTTCACAGTGAAGTATCACCTTTAATCACTAAATTAAAAGTAACTAAATATGGCTCATAATGTAAACAGCAGGGATGGCAAAACCATAAAATGCTCTTTTCTCCTGCTGGTCAGGATAAGAAGGAACCCTGTGGCTCCTTTCCTGGGTTATTATGAGATTTCCCACTGTAGTAATTATCTGCCAGATCGCTGAGCCACTCCTTTCTGCTTCATTTACAGTCTGTCTGAAGTAACAGGGTGTGCTCAGTGAGAAGTTTCCTTTTTTAACACAGGAGAATGTCAAAGATGTGTTGACTTTGAGCTTCTTGGCTGCTATATCGCATATGGAAGAAAAGCTTTTCGACGTGGTCCTTCTTAATCTAGAACTGCAGGAAAACAAGAGCAGGTATAACAAATGTTTTATAACTGCTGAAACAAAGCGCTACAAGAACCCTAGTGTACTAATCTAGGCAGCATTTGCAGTGAGGGTGACACAAAATCACTGTTCATCAGTCTATACATGGAGGTCACAAACACACTAATCAAGATTTAATGCACGGCAACGTTCCACCCAAGTCTAATAAGATAAATTAAAATTATTACAGTAAATGTCTAATAGTACAAAAAGAAATTATATTTTATATCCAAAATGTCAAACCTGAAAAGAAATGAATGAAAACTGCTATTTGACTGGTAAGCCAGAGGTTTACAGCAAAAGCGGCAGTTCTCAAATTTTATACCTGATGCTTAGATTGCATGTGTGGTGGGTAAAATTAAGCATTACTATGGATAATTTGCAAGTATCAGATGGTGTGCAAAAAACAGAAAAGGTTAAAATGTTACCCATGAAACACCTTATTACTCAGCGACTGCCATCTTGGCTACATACAACAATGGAAGTGTACACCAAACAATGTACAGCCTGTTGAAGGTGTATATAGCTAGTTCACTCACTTGGCCCACGTCCTCATTTTAGGTTTGACAGCATTTTAGTAGATAAAGGTGAACGGCTTGGACATGAATTGAGCTGCGGTTTGGGGAAGGCCTGAAAGGGGACTGGCGGCGGCTCCGGGACCTGGCAGATCCCCATGCACTAAACAGAAGTTAAAGAATTGAAAAGGGTAGGGAGGGTGGGGCACGTAAACAAGAACAAACAGATTGTAGAACTGGGGGAACATATATAGATAAGAACCGGAAGGAGTGTGTTTGGAGGCGTGGTCCTGCTCCTGAAATTCAGATACTTTGTCTCCAACAAGAACTGCCAATAATGTTAGTTCTAGCTAGCTAGCTGTTAGCTAGGAGCCAGGACCTTGCCTGTAAATTCATGTACTACACGAAGAAATACATATGAGGATGGTGCATTAAAAGCATGCTAATCCAAGCTGAGACACTGAGTTTAAACGGGTCAGGCTTTGTTGCCCAGTTGCAGTGATGCTGGAATCTGGTTCTGTGAACCAGAACTGGTTTGCCAAAGAGAAGAAACTGACTCTTTTTTAAAGTGTAAAAATTGCACTTGAGGTAACCATCGTTGTTGGACACAAAGCCACTGTGGTTCATGTGAGCCAGTAGACTTAATCAACATCGGTTTTACAGCCTTTTCTCTAAGTCGAGACATTACCAGAGTCTGCAGTACAGCACCAAAGTAAGAGCTGTGGTGGAGCGTTACATCATTAAGGTTTCTTCTAATGAAAGAGAGACACTGTGGAAAACTACTGGAACTGGACGTATTCACATCTTTTAATTTGAAAATCCATGGTTATGTTAACGATTAGATTTGAACTTATACGAATGTCAGCTATCAGCAATGTCTCCATCCCCTTTGATCGCAGCTGATACAGGCTTTCATCATTTGAATATTTCATAATTTTAACAAATAAAAGCAGCATTTTGTGTTTGGAGACTAATATGTAAATGTGACATTTGATGGTGTGCATCCTGACTTTTAATGATCTGCTTGGAAGCATCTGTACCAATCAGTGATGATTATTTGAAACTGTTTAAGTGCTTCTCTTAAATTTTCTGCAGCCACTGAGGACATTTGCATCAATTATGACCAACAGGAAAAACTGGTGTGATATGTCAGTCTTTTATTGTAAGTGCACAGCTGATTAGTTTCATCAGAGAAGTTCACATAGATATCACATTTCTACAATTACAGTATATTCTATTATAGATGACTCTTGGTTCTGTACACACCTAAGACACAGCAGTGCTTAAGGCTATATATTCTGTTGAACATGCTGTAGTTTACAGTATTAACATTATCGCCGTGAAGAACATCCCAAGTATGTGATGGTGCTTCCTTTTGTTTAGAGCAGGGGTGTCCAACTCCAGGCCTCGAGGGCCGGTGTCCTAAGATGTGTCCTTGATCCAACACAGCTGATTTAAATGGCTAAATGACCTCCTCAACATGTCTTGAAGTTCTCCAGAAGCCTGGTAATGAACTAATCATTTGATTCAGGTGTGTTGAGCCAGAGTGAGAGCTAAAACCTGCAGGATACCGGCCCTTGAGACCTGGAGTTGGACACCCCTGATTTAGAGAAAACAACAGATATTGTATGCATATTAGCTTTAAGACGTTCCAAACCTGCGGTGCTTTGGGTTCCTTGAGGGGAAAAATGTTCAGTTCACGAGTCCTGGACAAACGCACACACCCTGACAGCTAATGTCAAAGGAACATCGTAGACTTGATCGTAAGGATTGCTTGCAAGACAGAGACGGACAGCTTTGTAGATCTGTCTGGAACCAAAATGAGTGAAACACAGTAGATCTACGTTTATCTAAAAGGAGTCCTCTGCTCCTGAAGTTCTTTGACTGCTGCTGACAGAATAGTACAACAGCCCCCTGCACATGAGATAGAAACAGGAAACTCTAAATCTTACTGTGCAATGTCAAAGTTTTGGATTCCCTGCATGTTAAATAGGAGAGCGTGCATGAATCATTTTCTGGATACTCTCTGGTTTGTTTAATATGTCAGTTTGTTTGATGAAAGAATAAAAGAAAAAAATTAAGAACCTTGCCATGTTCCTGATCCTTTGTGATCTTAGCTCAGGGGTGGGCAATCTCAGTCCTCGAGGGCCGGTGTCCCTGCAGGTTTTAGATGTGTCCTCGAACCAACACAGCTGATTTAAATGGCTAAATTAGCTCCTCAACATGTCCTGAAGTTCTCCTGGTAACGAACTAATCATGTGATTCAGGTGTGTTGACCCAAGGTGAGATCTAAAACCTGCAGGGACACCGGCCCTCGTGGACTGAGATTGCCCACTCCTGTCTTAGCTAGTCGACATGACTCATCAATGTCTGTCATCTCAATCCAAAAGCATTTCAGTTTTTTATTAATGAGAAATCATCTTTTATGGCTCCCAAGCCAAGTGTCATTCGTTGTCTCTTACAGCCTGAAAAGACAGTGCACTTGGATTTTATTTTTTTTCATCGAATAACAATTAGAGAATAACAGAAGAACACATTTCACACTTAAATCAGTCATCGTCCACTGATGGTCCAAAACATTTGAGCGAGAAAAGCAATTTTTGTTCCTGTCATCAGGCGGTAGCATGGCTCTTCCCTAGCTGCTGATCTTGGTCAGCATCTTGTTGATGGCCTGTTTGACATGAGTGGTGGAGCTGCGGCGTCTGGCTTTTCCCTGAACAGCTTTGCGGCGTCTCACCTCTCTGCAGAGCTCGTGGAACGCCTCGGCCACAGCGCCGCCCTCGTCGGCACAGGCAGAGCATTCGTAGAAGGCACACGCCATTTCGGCTGCCAGCCGCTCTCCTTCCTCTGTACCGACTTGCCGGACGTGGTCCAGGTCAGACTTGTTGCCCACCAGAACCAGAGGAACGTTCTTCGGTTTCTTCACCTCCTCTAGGAGGCTTCGGAGCGGCCCCACCTCCTCAAAGCTTCCCCGATCCGTGATGTCATACACAAGGACAAAGCCGTCACCCCAACGCATGTGACCCTCCCTCTGCTGGATGTCCTCCTGAGAAGAAGACAAGACACATGGTGCTGAAGCTGATTTAGAGTTTTACAGATTTTCCCATGTTTTTAAATAAAATGATGATGTAATAATGATTCATATCTATTTTATGTGTGAAGCTTTAAGTCTGTAGAGACTTTGCTGAACAAATCCATGTTAGCAGTTCCTGTTTCCAGTTCCTAAATTAAGCTAAACAACTGTAGCTTTTTGTTTTTGTTTTGTTTTTTTTACTGTAAAATTATCATAAAACACCAACCAAAGAAAATCTCAGGTAAAAATAACAGACGGAGCAGCTGGAGAATTTCAGATGTGCTGCCTTTACCTTTGGGTCCAGTGAAGCTGTAAAAGTCATATTAGCATTTTCCTGTTTGTAGATTTATGTTGATAATGTAGTTTCTCTCTAATTTTCCCACCAAGAAAACTTTTCATTTAATATTTTTGACTCAAATATTATTTAAACAGAACAGGCTGCAGTCAGCTTCTTTAATATGCATATACATTTTTAGCTCTTTTTGTGTTTAAACATAAAAAGACGTGTAGTCCTTTCTGATCTAAGAATCATGTTTAGTTCCTAACATTATCTTTGCACTCTGCCACACCCTCTTAAGCCCTACATTGAATTCTGCAGCCATCTGTGTAATGCAAACACTCGAGCATGTGCTCTTAATTTGATCATGTGGCTGCAGAATCATCCATGACCGATCAGAAAACACCTGCTTGGACTAGATGGAGGCCCAAAGGCTCTGATCTCACAGTTACCGACAGAGGAAGCTGAACAATTTATCGAAGAGTGGCCACATTTTTCAAAAATAGAATATTAGGAACCTGAATGGGGGGGGGGAAATGTTTTTGCATGTGCATAATATACAAACAATATATATCTGATACAGTATGGTGCTGAAAACATTAGATATATTTAATGAATATTCATTTTAAAGAGGCACATTTACTATATATATATACACACACACACACACACACACACACACACACACACACACACACACACACACACACACACACACAATTATACATCCAAATATGCTAAATAAATAATAATAATAATAATTTCTTTCTAACCCATTTTAAACATTAAGGAATGATTTTGTTGGAAGGAAGTTTTTTGATTATGTAATTTTCTTGTACCAGATGCCAGAAAACGACTTGAAAATACTGCATTCCTCCTCCAGAGGACAGATGAGTCTGACGTTTGTGAACCTGGCCGCCTTCTGAACTTAAGACTCCACCTCCATAAATTACAAGAGTTAGCACAATGCTTTGATACAATCATAGCCGTGAGAGGTCTGACATTCACTGAAGTCGTGTCTGGAAACATTCAGACCTCATCCTAATGCCAGCTGAAAATAGACTACATTGTAATGAGAGCAAGAGAGAGAGATGGCTTGGCTAAAGTGTCGCAGGGGAAATCAGCCGCCAGCAGAACACCTACGCAGCAGTGCAGCATATTTATCTTCAGCCCAAGGACTTACGCAAGCTCTCGCTCATGGTCAAACCTGGCAATACTTCTATTATACTCCAGGAAATTAACATCTTTAAGTGCCATCCACTCTCACATCCAGCCAAACAATTCTTCAAAACACCTGAATAATCAGAGGACAAGTTAACTGAATGATGTCTTTTCCATCTATTTCAGTCACATTCACATTCATATTTAATTAAAGTACATTTCAGAGTTGAAAAACACTTGACAAACACTTTTTCAGTCGACATAGACAGTGGGCTGTACACCTACTTTTGGCACAAAGAAACAACTGTGAAAATGAATGATGCAGAAAGACTTGTTATTTTTTTTATTTTTTACAGACAGTTAGTTGGCATAAGGACTGAAGATGATTCATAAAGTGGATAAATGCTTGTTTTGTTATAAAGGCTTTGTCACAGTCTCAAAGGCCTAGAGCAGGGGTCCCCAACTCCAGGCCTCGAGTGCCGGTGTCCTGCAGGTTTTAGATCGCACCCTGGGTTAACACACCTGAATCAAATGATTAGTTCATTACCAGGCCTCTGGAGAACTTCAAGAAATGCTGAGGAGTCATTTAGCCCTTTAAATCAGCTGTGATGGATCATGGATCACCGGCACTTGAGGCCTGGAGTTGCCTACCCCTGGCCTAGAGACTGGTTGGAGACTCCCAGCAAACATCTGTCCTAAGAAAAATGTGTATCGCCCAACCAGTAGGTAAGTGATTTCCAGAGGTTGAGTGTCTTTGAAATCAGTTGCTAAAGGCCCAGCCAAACACCTGTCACACTCAGAGAAAAATGTGTATCCCATGACTGGTTTCTTGAAGTTGCAAACACTTCTCCAAAGTAAAAGTTGCATCTTTTGAAAGTTGTTGGTTTCAGCGATAAGGCAAAACCTTTACTTTGGAGGTGTACCTTCTGTGTTTCCAGTTCATACTTAGTTGGGGAGTGTTTCAAGACAAGCTGGTGTCTTCCAAACAAACTACAGGTGGCTGCTAGCGAGCAAGGCAATAACTAGTTTAGCACCCTGTTGGCAACTTATTTCACCCTACGACAGCCAGCAACCTTCAGAACCACTCCAGAGTAGTTTTCCCTTGTGACCGGAAGTTGCCGAGAGGTTGCCAACTTGTTTCTGGGCCTCTGCAACTGTGCAAACATCTAAAGAAATGCCATGAAATGTTTGATCTCACTACCACCCAGAGACTACCCAGTGTAATCAAAAACAGCAACATAGGCGATAAACTACTGAAAAAAGTTACCTGACAAATTGTCTCACCTGGCCTGCAGTGTCGAGAATCTCCATGGTGACAGCCTCATCGTCGATATTGGCTTGATGACGATATGTTGATTCTGCAAGGCAAAAAATGTGAGGAAATATTTTATGCAGCATTCAAAAAAAGAACTAAAGTGAGTCATTACTGGAAAACTGACACTTCCTAACATGGGAGTGGAACTCATCGTTATGTATTCTTTGTGAGTTAACAAATCAGTATCACTGTGAGGGCGGGCAGATTTTCAATGTATTTGCAATACTCTTTTGAATATTCAGACGATGACACATAAAAGTGATGATTACTGTTTGCAAGAAGCTTACTCACACTAAAACCCTGCATCTTATCTAAGCTGTAATTTTATCTAAAATATGTTGGTGACAGGGCTGCTGGTGAGAAGTTTCAGGAAACTTGCAGGACTGACGCAGTTTACTGCATCACTGTAGCCTTCTTAAAACAACGCGCAACACATCAGAAACACATAGCAGATACCTTTCAAAGTGACGGCTCCAAACTCTCATGCTAGTTATAAAAACATAATGTGACAAAAAAATAAACATGTACTGCAAATGTCTGTGAAAGTTCTCAGCCAAAATGTTCCCATTTTGGACAGATGGTTTGAAAGAGGAGTGAAAGACGCCATCTATGTCTACTGTGAGCGACCATCTTTGAACAGAGGCGGGGCTTACGACACCAACTGTCTGCCATCTATAATCCAGTTTTGAGAGCCTTTCCCAGACACCTTAACGCCCACTTACATCCTGGGCCATCTGACCTCAGGAAATCACATGATAGGGTGGGGCTAGGCTTCTCAGTGAGCTCACCAGGAACCTTGGCTGGTTGTGACCTACACCCGTTTTCACACCTTGGCTCGTGTGATTAGGTAGAGGATCAATAGGGGGTCCATGTCCCTTTTGGGGGGGACACTCTCACAGGGCTTAAATCTGGGACTCTCCACATTTGACTGTAGAACTGAAGAAGCTGCTTGAATGAGAGTTGAAACGTCTTCAAGCAGCTTGAAGAAGTCCAGACGCTTTTCTTTTCAAGCTCCTTAGACTTCACTGCAAATGTTTTAGAAGTGTGGGCATCACAAAAAGCCAGTCAGAATGACGAACATGATTACATGCTACTAGCCAGCTAGTAATATATGGTTGTGATCAGACGTTAATATACACTCTTCATGTGCATGATGACTGTCATGGGAATTTTAGGCTTTTAATGCTTTTTTTGGGACTGTTTTTTCCCCAGGGTGGAATGCATGCATCTTTAATGATGTGAAGCTTGTTGATGGCTACCAAAAGCATCTGGTTAAGGTGCAAAGTTGCATGTAACAGACACCGGTACTCCGTGCACATTTTGTACACACGTGTAGAAGTTGCAGTAAGCTGCAGCAACAGCAGAGGGAGATGTTTTATTTCAAGGTAACATGAAAATAGTTATTGAAAAGTGTTTAAACAGACGTTATTAACGCATTTACATCTAAATACATATTAGCCTTTCTGGCAATTAAGGAGCCAGAAAGGATTAAGCTTATGTTTTTTGCTGAAAAATAAAATAAAAAAAGTAAAGCGCCTCGTGGCGACTGCTGTTGTGTTGTGCTATATAAATAAAATTGAATTAAACAGAATCTCCACCCTTAAAATGACTGCAACTGTAGCTCATCTGCAACAGTGGGTTGTTTATTAGTTACCATGGGGTCATTTTCTAGTTCTAGTCCTTTCAGGTCATAAACCTCTTTACACTTTGACCCTCTGTTTGCTGATGATAAAAGCCAGGCAAGCAGTGCAATCCCCCCTGTTTGACACAGTCAGAGCAAAGGCATTTGGGTTTACAGCTTCCCTTTAGAGACATTAGCTAGTTGTCATTGGCACCACATTTGTTTTTGAGGAACCATGTATTAAACATGTTCATGCCTGAGATGGGAGAGCATCATTTTTAGGTCAAAACAACTGCTTTTTGCCTGGTTCAGACAGATGCTGAGTAGCTTGAAGAGAGAACACTCTTTCTCTTCTGCTTACATTTTGGGGACAGGTTTTTCCCAGCATGCTGTCAGACTCTCCTGGTTGCAGGGTGAAGTTTGACTCTTGCAATGACCTGAAAACAGTCTGAGCTTCGCCTCTCTGTGATTTGAAAAACAGGATGAGAGCTCTGTATTGCCGGCACAGGTGTGAACTGTGACTGTGACCTTTCATTTGACCTCAGTCAGAGAGCAGGTTATCTGCCCGCCCCCCTTCGCTGTCATAAAATCCCATCTGTAAACACCTCGCAGGCAGGATCGAGGCTCCCTGAAACCTTTTTTGTGCAGGCAAACTGCCGGGATTTTCCATCGCATGACATTTTCCATGACAGGGCTTAAACCGATGCTTTCTTCTAGCATTCTGAGTGATTTCACAAAAAATCTCTTACCTCTGCTATCATGTACACAGAGGTCCAGGATTCCTGACTCATTTGTCCCAATGTCTAAAATGAGCAAGTACTCCACGTGCCAGTCACAAAGACTGTGCAGTTCATCTTTAGACATAATTTGAAATGTTATTTTGTTTGTTGCTCCCAAACGTCATAAAAATGCAGTGTGCATTTTATTTAAGCCATTGCAGAATTTTGTTACTGAGTGTTTGAACCTTTCAGACTAGACAAACACGAGGAACACGCTAACATGACACACAGGAACGAAAGCTGCGCCCACACTGGAAGGAATGAACTTCAAACCAGCTAAACTGTGTAACAGTTTGTAACACTACAAAGTCCGATTGTGCTTCTGTTTATATATTTACTGATTCTTCTGGCATGATAGTTGTAAAAGTTCTGGGAATCGTCCCATAAACATAAAAAAATCTGTCCAGTCTCTCATTCAAGATCATCTTCGTGTGCATCCCTGGACTGCTTTCAGCAGGGCAGTTATTTTTAGATTATTCCTGGGGCTCTGTGCCGGCTTTAATTTCACTACAGTCCTCAAACTTCCAAGGTCTTTATGGACCATGACAGGTCAGGATCACAACCAGGAGCGTAGTTTTAGTCATAGTTTTTTTTCCTCTTTCACTGTACACTGTGAATTCAGACTAATAAAGCAGAAATCTGCTTCTATTGCCACTGTGTCCAAGTATACAATGCATTTAAAAAAGTAAGAGAAACACCCTTCAGTCACCAGCCAACATACCCTGGAAGTCCAGCCACTTCCACAAAATGAAAGTTAAGTTTTAGAATTTGGCAATGTGTCGGTGTCAGTAGTGCGATTTCCAGGGAGTGATCTACACAACTGCACTGGACGTTTGTCAAAAACACACCAAAAGGGGCCCATTGAAAAGGTTAAGGTGTTTGATTTATTTATGTTTTGGTTTTAACTACATAAGACTGTTTTCTATGAACCTAAAGCACTACACATTTGATACCAATGAAAAGAACTTTCATAGTACGTATTAAAAGAAAAGATTTGAAGATAAGTTCTAAAGTATCACTTCAATCGAATTAAATGCTGTATTTCAAATGTTTTATTCTGACTAAAAAAAGATTAGGTCTTATTACTTTAAAAACCCAAGCCAAGAAGCGATGGAGAGGACCTGTCAGACTGATGTTCAGATTCTATCTCACGAGAGAGTTTAAAATGACAGGTCCTGCAAGGCCCCCTCTGCTGTGTGCCAGGTGTGCTCACCTCTCCGGGGGGGATAAATTGTGTTGTGTGATGTAAATGAAATGTCACAGGGAGCCAGAGGAGGAAGCAACTGACGCAGCTGTTTGGCTGCATTCACAAGGAGCCTCCTTAAGGAGAACCAGAGTCACGCTGTGCCTCGTGGGACAGCCTATTTCAGGAGCCAGCTCCCTGTCAGCTCCCAATCTGTCCACGTCCACACCCCAGTGTATCTGTTGATAAAAGCACTGGCAGGAGGCAGTGCTGGTGGTATGATTTAAGCAGGCTCACCATCCTTTGTAAGGGTCTTGGGAAGAAACAAAAATGACAGTGCAAACAGCTGCTTTACGCTGTTTTGGGATCAGGCAGGGAAAAAAAGTCTCAGTGTCGACAGTGAAAACCATCCAGTTTGTTGATGAACTCTGTCAGTGTGCGCTTCCATAAATTGCTCCAACAAACCAGAGAAAATGGTGCAGAGCATGAGCAAGCAAAAAAGCCGTGTGATATAATATAAAGCAGAGCTGCTGTTGTCATGCCAAACCACAGTCGCGGTAGCACACAATTAATTTCTGTGAGCCAAAGGAGATTAGAATCTGTAACCAGACGGTGTGCAGAGACAGAAATAACTTTTGCAATATTGTGGCCATGTGCAGTCTGAAGTGTTGTTGGTTCCCATTGTGCTGCTGGGAATGAGAGCCATGTAGTGTTTCTGCAAACTCAGTCTCTGTTGCTACCAGCCGAGAATTTAAACATACAGAGATCTGCACGTTTTTTGGTTTTTTTTTTTTTTTTTTTTTACTCCTGTTTTTGCATCTTTTAATTCTCTTCAATGATTGGTTCCTTAACTAGAGATGAAAAAAAAAGAGATTAAATTCTTGCCACACATTTTCTTTCTTTGGATGTGCAGGCTTTTATATGTAAAAGCTAAAAAATGCAACGAATGCAAAAAGTGCTTTCTTTCTTAGTTATCAGAACTCACAGTTTTTTTTTTTTTTTTCCCACTACAAGCATGCTGACACAGACGATGGGCTAAGTTAAGAGCTGAAAAAGTATTAATTCATAAAATTAGCCCTTTTGGACCTTAGTTTAGTCTTTTAGCTAATGAGTGTGCAGTTTCACAGTCAGATGTATGCTTCCTCCGTCACATCACATCATATCCAGCACGAACACAACAACTGTGTGTGTGTGCGCGCGCGCGCGCAGGTACACAAGCACACTCATTCTTCATTCAAGTACTGATCATATCTGGAGATGCCCACATGTTCGTATATTTACATGATTCTGAGAATATGAATTTAATGTGTTAAGCAGTGGTTCCCAGACTTTTTTTGCTAGGCCCCCCTTTGTTTTACAAGAAAATGTTCGCGCCCCCCCTTCTCACGCACGCACGCATCCTCCAACCACACACACCCATATTTTGCTCCATTGCGGTTCCTTTCACACCTCAAGCATTTAGTAAACAATTAGGAAAATACAAGTAACCTGCAATAAATTACAGGTAGAAAGAATGTAAACTACTAACTCTATTACTCTACGTCCACGCCTACAGGGGTATTTTTGGACATGCAGCCGTTTCGTCCACATGTAAACGGCGTTTCAAATCACTAAAAACGGAGATATTTTAAAACTCCTTTTCCCGTTTACGTGTGGACGAAGAATACAGAGTTCGTCGCAACGTCAAAGGTAGGTGCCTTTTTTTCACGTCACGCTGTGCGCCACGTTATTGTTTACATGAGATGAATTGCAGAATGGCAGATAGAGACAAAATACTGTTAATCTGACTATCTGCAGGTTTTACACGCTTGCATATACACATGCATTTACCGTCCCTCCATTTAGAAAGGCAGAGGCGTCACGATGTGATTATTTTACTGTATGTGTAATAATATTCAACATTGCCATCAATGCATTTTTCAAAAAATGCCTCTCTGTGCAAAATGGGTTTAAAAACATAAACAACTGTGGGATACTGTTTGTCCGTGATTTGAAGAGCCCAGCGCTGCTCCCCACGAAGGGAAAACCAATTCTGCAGGGGAGACCTACCTCGGCACTTGTGCAGGTGAAGCCAAAGGGAAGACATGCTTCACCATATTTTCTAGTCTTTGGCTTAGAATGAAGTTGGTTTGGAAACATATTCAGCGATGCTTCATCTCCTGCTTTGCATTTCTGCATTTCTATCCTGCAGAAAATTGTCTTCGCTAAGCCTGAATTTTTTGCAGTCACAGTAAATCTACTGTCCCCTGAAATAAAATCTGCCTTTGAAGATGCACAAGATAGCTCTGCTTGGGCTGTTTCGTACATCTAGGCTGAAAAGGGACAATTCACTGCAGGGAATAAGATCTGAGCTTGTTTGTAAACCTGATCCAGATAAATAGGTAGATAATAAATGGAGATGAATGGTGAGCAATAGCTACTGGAAGGCATACTGAGATAGATTTAGTGCAGCCCCCATTGCGGCAGTAATTCTCCAGCATGCAAACCCCCTACCTGTGCGATCTGCTCATAATAGTGTTTTAATGATGTTTTGAGCACTTTGAGGGTAATTTCATCCAGGCAGTCTGATTGGTCACAGACACCCTCCAGCGGTGCTGTTATTTCCATTACAGACCTCAAGGGGTTGTGACGTAACCTCTTGTTGTAACCAAGGAAGCAGTTATTGCTCTTTTCCTGATTTCTACCACATTCCCTACTTTGAGTTTAAACAGCAGACGTGTAATATGAAGCTGGCACAGTGGCAATACATTATACTGTAAAAAAGTAGTAAGATGTGGATGGGTGGCAGCTGAGTATGATCTAAATGCCACGTAGGCTAAATGTAAAAGAAATCCAGAATCATATCGCTTTAAAGTGTTTCCTCTTTGTTGGTCTAGCACCTGAACATATCTCAGCAGTCTCACAGGCATATGTTGAGATGTCACAAAGAGGCCATATTTATTTTTATTTTTATTCCTATTTATTCTATTTATCCCCTTCGTATATTTTATTTATATTGTCTCTGTATTTATATATATGTGTGTGTGTGTGTGTATAACTCTGTAACTTCTGTCGGTGCTGTGCTTTTTTGGAAATCGAATTTCCCAGAGGAACCCACCCGAGGGATTAATAAAGTTCTATCTTATCTTATAATGACTGTGATCATTATGTTATTATATGAAAATGGATTAATTATGCTCCTGAGTGCGGTCTGCTTTATGTTGGTGATTGCACTGTACTGCACCATGTATTGCTAAGAACAGGCAGGCTATTGAAGGAGCATCATGTGAACAGTCCAGAGGCGCTGACCTGCCAAGCACAGCCAGGAAATGAAAAGCACATTATAGAGGAGGCACTTTGTGTCCCATAATTACAATGTAGAGAACTGGTTCAACCAGAGTATGAAAAGGCCAGTTCTACTGTATATAATGCACTGATAAGAGAAACCCCCCAACAACAATTTTACATTACGCTGAGTTGTAGCAGTTTCAGCACTTTATCCCAGAATTTTTAATGAATCAATTATTGCTTTTATTCTGTTTTCACCAGATAAACATTTGTGCAGAAGATTAAAGTGCTAGCTCTGTGCTGGCCATGATAGTGCCCATGATATAACTCCTGCACCTAGAATTTCCATTTTCTCTTTTTCCTGTTAGATGAGGAGATTTGGTATATATTAGTGCTGTCTGCGTTAATCTCGTTAAATCTCTCATCGCAGGGTGTCAACGCGTTAGCGCCGTCCAGCCCCACATGCGGGGCAATCCACGTTAACTCGCTAACGAAGATTTGCCGCATTAATGCAGTTATGGAATTAACGTTATTTTAACGAGATTAACGCTAACAGCACTAATATGAATCTATGCTAACTATGAAAACTAAAATGAGCAGCAGCTAGCTTACCTTAGATTAAAAGATGGAAACTAGCTGGGGAAAGCCATTACCCTAGCTGTGCCAAAAGCAAACACATTTTCATTATGTCATCTTTAGAGAGGTTCATGCAGGAAAAATGCCTGAACAAGATGTTTCTCCTGCTTTCAATTTTTGGCTAAACTTACAGAAAGAGGGCACAAAGCTAAAAGTAATGCTAGGCTAGTTACAGAAGATTTCACATTAGCGGTAGCATGGCAGAAAAGAATCAAGGTGTTGCAATGGTCCAGTCAAAGACCAGACCTTGAACTGACTGAATTGCTGTGCTGGGACTTTAAGACACCTGTGCCATATAACACTTGTATGACAAAGTCATACAGAAAACCATTACTTCAAGTTATTGCTGCTAAAGGTGGTTCTACAAGTAACTGGCTTAGGTTTTGTAAAATTAGTGGAATCTGCTGTGTGTTTTTTACACCTGAGGATAGCTTTAAATAATCAACTTAGTTAAGGACTACATGTATTATAAGAACTTCATATAAAACCATAAAATTGACAGTGTGCAATTTCTGCAGATACAGGAGATGGCAGTAACAGCAGCAGGAGGGGATACACGTTTCTTGGGCTGTCTTACCAAGTGTGGGGTCATACTCCCAGATGAAGCGTCTGGTCAGAAATCTCACCACCAGAGCTGCAAAGAACCACAGGACAAATGTGTTCAGCATATGAAATCAGCACACGAGACACACAGCAGGGTGGCAGTTTGATTTTAAGTATTAAATAGTTTTCTTTTTTAAATAGACTGCATACTGATTCATGAATACACTTTTTACTACGTAGATGAAATTAACTAAAAATTGATGACCATTTGTTTATAATAGTGAAGCTCAATCTACAGCCCTAATATGTACATCCACTAACATGTATTCTCAGAAAATCAGCTGTGGCTAACGCACCGACAGTCCATAAGATCCAAACCACTTTAACACACATTTCATCTAAATGCTAATACCCACTGGAAAACGTCCAGCTCATTAAGACAGAGTTCAAACAACCTTGAAACATCAGCTCTCAGGTTTTATCAAGAGCATCTTCTTCTCTGAGACAGGATTGTTGGCCTGCCTTTGACAGTATCAGCCTTCCTTTAAAAAAGCATCCCCAGTGAGCCAGTGACTCACTGTCTTAATGGTTTACCATCAACAAGCAATCTGCCGCACAGAAATGTCATTTATGCAGGCTGAATTAGACAGCCCTTCCCTGTTTATCAGGCACAGCCACACACCAAACCCTCTTTCTCAGAGTAAAATGACCTGTAAACACTGGTGTAAAATGTGTTCAGTTAGCTGAATGCTGCAACATTTCTCCTTTTAGTTCAGTTGTTGGGAGGGGTGATGTCACTGAAAAAGAGACCTGCTGTATCAGTTTACTTTATGTAAAGAGATTAGCAGAGAAAATAAATGTGGTGGCTATGAGCTCATTCACTTTCACTCGGAGTGAAATGAAATGATTGAAACCACTCTCGTCTGTCAGTGAAATATGGATTCAGCTGTAGGAGGTGGGCATCTCTGTCATGGTCCAAAGGTTTTGTCTAGTATTTGCTGAATTTTGGTTCCTTTTGTTGATTCTTTTGCTTCTAATGTTGTGTTTCACTGTCTTTGCCTCCCTCTGTCTCTTGTGTTCCAGTGCCTTCTCTGCTCTTTTATTGGGGTTAATATGAACCTTCATGTCTTAGTTTTAGCCTTGCCTTTTTGTTATTTTCTGTTTACTTTGATAATTGAGGTTGATTGCGTAAAGTGGTCAGTGTAAAGTTATGTCTTTTAGTCTTTATTTGGACATTGGCTGCTTTTTCACTCATGTTCCATCCCGTCCTTGTACCTGACCATTTCTAGATAAATAAATCAGTACAGGTATTTCACATTTTCCTAGTAAACTATAAAGAAATGACAGGTGGCTTGAGATTCACCATTCAGCATCTAAATGGACCGTTTCTCACGTAGCGCTTTGGTGCTTGTTTGATTGTGTCCATGTATTTATACAGTCTTCCCCTGCATTTAAGTTCTAACGTTCACACACCAATTAACTCACACAGGGATACTTTGGCCCCCCAGTTCGAACCACCAACCTCCCAACTGGAAGATGAGCAGCTCTACCTCCTGAGCCACGACCACCCTTCATGAAGTTCAAAGACGTTCCACAGGAAGACTGTAAGTCTATTTACTTCATTCACCTAAAGCTGGACCATTTAAATGAGCTGAGTTTTGCACTTTGGCTCAATATCGACATGCTAAGCTTTACTGACCTTCACCGGATTGATTTGTCAATCCGTGTTCTTAAAGGTAAAAGTAGGGTAACTTTGTTCTTTTATCAGCATTTAACTTTCTTCACAGTGGTATAAATAAAACAGTATGGCTTTAGAACTTATATTATAAATGAATTTTTAGTAACAAATATGTTAAAGCAACATTAAAGCCACCCAAGTCTCTTCACACTTTTTAATTAGCTTCGACTCACTGCCATTGGGACTGCCTGGCTTTCATGAGTCCAGGTGGGTCTCTGTGTAATCATGTCAGCTTACTGAGCTCCTACTTATGGAAAAGAGCTCATGAAGGAACAGTTCCTCCTTTGAACTTGAAAAAACAGGCCTGTCTTCCAATTAACCAAGTAAAGGAAGAAAATCCACAATGAAAAAAGGAGTGAAGGTGAGCCAGTGCCTTTGAGCTCAGGACAGTAACTTTCACGCATGAGGCAGACTGCAAAGCTTTACCATTTTATCAGCCAAATTGGTCTTTTACTTCAGCGTTCATCATTCCTGTCTTGCTGATTTTGTTCCTCAGGAAATCACAGCCTCCCTTTCTCGCTAACAAATTCAATGTGTTTTTAGGCAAAGGGAGTCCGGGTCATGTAACGTTCAATTATCCCCTGAATGCAGTGAAAACAGAACAGTGGCAGGTAATTTGTCAATTTGCTGTTGACAAAGCAGACGAGCGTGCATATTTATTCTCGGAGCACTTTTCCTTTTCCCGTTCAACCCTAATTTTGCCGTTGAGGTTTTAGTGGCGGTGGCCTGGATTCCAGGTGGCGAGAAAAACCAATGGGGTGTGAAGTCCTTTTCTCATTAGATGTAACTCTATCTCCTGCTTTTCACTTCCACGGGAAAGAAAGGTACACACGGCAGAGAGGAGCCTTTGTTAATGTGCATCAGTGCACATTGTGGCCCAGATTCACTGAAGGATTGCAAACAGAATAATGTGCAAGGTATCGCCAAGCTGACCAGAACACAAAAACAGGTGATTTACTGACTGTGTGCAGAGAGAGGAAAGCTGATAACAGCGCTGGCATTTACAAAAAAGCCTTTCTGTGCTCATCACATATTGCTTATGTGGATACCATTTTCTAGTTTGATCCTTTTTTCTTTTTTTTAACAGTCTGATAGAGGCGTTGCTTTGGCTAAAATGGAGCCACACATTTTGCAGCGACTCTGAATTAGAGTTGCATTTATGCTTTTAGCAGCCTGTGTTATTATGTTTTGAAAGGTGTGATCAAAAACTGGCATTTAAAAAAACAAAAACAAAAAACAGTCCAGCAGGAATAATGACCTTCCGGCCACAAATTTCAAATCAGAAATCAGAATACTAAAGTGAGTGGCCGACTATTTTTTTTTTTTTTTTTTTTTTTTTTTTTTTAAATGACTGAATTTGCATAAGCAGGAACACCCTGAACACACATCTGTTTGTATGGTGGTTGGTAATATCCAGGCGATGCTAAAGGGGAGACGGAATGAAATTTAATAATAAAAATAATAATGGATTGGATTTATATAGCGCTTTTCAAGGCACCCAAAGCGCGTTTCAATGCCACTATTCATTTACTCTCACACACTGGTGGAGGCAGCTACAGTTGTAGCCACAGCTGCCCTGGGGCAGACTGACAGAAGCGAGGCTGCCATATCGCGCCATCGGCCCCTCTGGCCATCACCAGTAGGCGGTAGGTGAAGTGTCTTGCCCAAGGACACAACGACCGAGACTGTCCGAGCCGGGGCTCGAACCGGCAACCTTCCGGTTACAAGACGAACTGCCAACCCTTGAGCCACGATCGCCCCATATGAAATTTAAAAAAAAAAAAAAGAAAAGAAAAAAAACCAACCTAAGAATTAAACAGATGTTAAGGCAAATCCAAAACAAGACACAAAAGAAAAACAACTAACAGAGTAAAACAGGAAGCAAGTTTAATTCAAAATAGGAACTGAAGCCAAATAATGACCAAGAAAACCTCTAGAACAGTAAAGCAGTCTTAACAGGAATTTGAAAATCAACAAGATACAGATGTAATACAATATAATTTAAGCCTAATATTACATTTGAATTCATAATAAGGCCTCAAAACTGTAATTCAAAACTCAACCAACTCGACTATATCAACTGAGAATTCAAAATAATGAAAAAGACCCAAGGACCATGAAGCAATGTCCTGGTCTGCTTTGGTGAAGGCCCACTGTGGACTAGATCAATCTTCAAATACATGGTAACTAATGTTGCTGTCTGCTACACATTTAGCATAACTGGGACCAAAAAAATAAACTAAGCATTAAAAACAGGCTGCTGTTTGGCAATAGCAGTAAAGTCTTAGAGGTAATAAACCAATAATAAGTAGTATGTGCTTGCTAGCATCAGCTAATATTAATCAGCTTAAATTGTGTTTATTCTACAGCAGCTTATAACTCCTGCATTGACTTTTGTCAGTGTCACTGGCTACAACATTACCGCTCCTTAGCCACAAATAAAACAGGCTGTGTGTAGCGATGGAAAGTAGATCAGAGTAGAGCCGCTGTTTTATATTTTCTCTGGTGTTTATTCTCTGGTGTCACATAGCCTGCATCATGTGGCTGGTTGAAAAATTCTCTTTATATTAACTATTGCCTTATAATGTCTTCAGCTGCTAACGGTTTCTTCACAACTTGACATTTCCCAACAACTGACCGCAGCTGGAGTCAAAGTAACAAAAAACAGATCTGATCTTATCAAATTGTTCAGCTCAGACTTCATAGGGCAGCTGCGAGCTGATGGATGACAGAGGTTTCAGATTTACGTCAGACACACCATCCGTAGTAGGTGTTTGCCAAAAGCTTCTTTTATCTGAAGTGACCTAATCACATTAGCGGCAGAATGTTGGACTAATTGCAAACAAAGCAAGAGCAATTAGTGGCGCCCATGCCCCTGTTCTGAACCAGTGTTGTGTTACTCATTGAACAGTCTCTATTGATTCCTCATGACCATCAGACGAACACCCACAGCTCTTTAGTTCCTTTCAGCCACAAAAAAACACCTCTTCGCTGTCTCTCCCAGAGCTGTGGCTCTGCAGTCAAGTCCTGTACCTATTGTGTTCGTGTCACGTTGGGTCATGTCACACAGCCAGCTGTGCTGATAAGACTGGAGGAGAAACGGTTACATGGGAACTGCCTTAAAAACAAATAATAGAAGCGAGAAAATTAAAATGTAATAATAGAAAACTTGAAATACTATATATACAGATATGAGAAATAAAGTTTACACAAGACTGTTTTCAGTCTTGTGTAAACCACCCACGCTGTTTCTCTAGGAACAAAGAAGGTAAGTAGCAGTGTGACCACCTCTGTTAAAGTGTGGGCATTAATAGAGTTTAACAATTGCACCAGGATGATGTCTGTGCTCAGAC